AACCTCCCGTCCCCTTACACCACTACTGTCAGCAAACAAACCTCCCCACCCTCCTTGATCTCTCTCGAGCCGACCGTCCGTCCATGCTGCCGCAGATGAACCTCCCTCCCCCCTCCGCGCAGCCATGTCCCTGCTGCGGCGCGCGACGCCCGCGTTCCGCCGCCTGACCACGGGCCCGGTCCCGCCTTCCCCCACCGCGTTGACGCTCAACCTATCCGCCTTGGGCGCGCAAACGGCCGTGGCACCCTCCCCCGCGGCAGCCACGCTCGAGCCCGTCCCGAACGCCCACCCGGACACGCCGTACGTGGCCCGCTTCATCTGCCCAGAGTTCACGTCGCTGTGCCCGGTCACGTCGCAGCCGGACTTCGCCCACCTCGTCATCGACTACGTCCCCGCCGCCTCGCTGCTCGAGTCCAAGAGCCTCAAGCTCTTCCTGACCAGCTTCCGCAACCACGGCGACTTCCACGAGGCCTGCACCGTCTCCATCGCAAAGAGAATCGTCGACGCCGTCCACCCCACCTGGCTCCGCATCGGCGCGTACTGGTACCCCCGCGGCGGCATCCCCATCGACGTCTTCTACGCCACGGGCAAGCCCCCCGACGGCCTGTGGATCCCGGATCAGTCCGTGCCGCCGTACAGGGGGCGGGGCTAGCTCTGTTAGCCGACCCTCCGAGCCCATATAAAAACGCCCGCAATTTTGTGCCCGAAGAAAAGGGACAGGATCCAATCCCTCACCGCGCCGCGCGCTCGCCCCCGCTTGCCCCCCGCTCGCCCCTGCCTCCCCATGAATTCACCCGAGCCCGCGCCCCCAGCGCCCGTCGCGGCCGCGCTGGAGCGCGTGATGGCGACGGCGACGAGCATCGTGGCCGCAGAGATGCATCCGGCCATAGACGCCGTCACCCACTCGCAGGACGCGCTGGCGGCCGAGATGCGCGCGCTGGACGCGGAGATGGCCGCCACCACCGCCCTGCTCGAGTCGGTCAAGCTCGACCCGCACACCTCGGCCCGCATGGAGGACACGCGCCGTGTGCTCGCCCGCACCAAGACGAAGCTCACCACCATCCGAGGCCGCCTGGGCAGGCTCCGCATGTACGAACAGTCCGATAGGCTCCGCCTCGCGGAGACCCAGCTTGTCGACATGGCAGATACTCCCGCCGCTACACTCCCCGCTCGTGTGCACGTCATCCCGGACCAGGGCTTGCAGCACCCCCCCGATCATCCCACCTGATCGAGACGCCGCTCGCGAAACGCATCAACAGTTCTGCCTGCTTGATTTTTTGTGCCACTACAATACAGTATCTGTATATCTATTAGTTTTTTCCCTCTCTCTGTTCCACCCCGGAAGCACTTGCTAATTGAACTTGTACCGCTCGTCCAAAACGGCGTGCCTCAGGTTGCCCTCGAAGGAGAGGTGCTCGTAATCGATAAACACGTCCACCTTCTTCACGTCCTCCTCAAGCTCCATAAACGCCAGGTCGCATCTTCCCCGTTCCACGCGTTCCCTGGGTCTCAGTCCGTTCACCTCAACCCGCAGCAAATTCGGACAATTCGCAGCCAGCGTCCGGGCCAGAACTTTGGCTGACAAGTTTGCAACTCCTACAGCAACCCCCACACCGGTCCTAGTTGAGCCCCGCATCCGACACCGCGGGCTCTCCCACGTGAAATGCGTCAGAGTCTTGCCGCAGCCCCTCAGCAGCGACCCCATCCCTGCATTTGAAACCGCGTCACTCCCCAGTCGTCTTGCCCCTTCTTCCGACAAATCCTGCCCGTCGCCCCCGAGCGCCACCTCCTCTAGCCCCGTACACCGCGCCCCAATCGCCATCAGCCCATCATCTGTCACAAAACACCCTCTCAAATCCAGCGCCTTGAGTCCACGCCCCAATCTCGCAATATGAAACAATGACACGTCAGTCAAGCACTCCTGTCGTCGAATCGTCACCCGCTCCAAAAGCGGCATCGATTTTATCACCCGACCAACGTGCTCATCGACTAGCCCCGCCACATTTCGCAAATGCAAATCCGTCAATGCATCGCCAGCCGCAACCAGCGCATCCACAGCCATCGGCGCCATCGCCCTGGACCAACCCGGTTCCTCTACTCCCAAAAGCCGCAAACTGCACGCTTTTTGTACCAACATCTCCAACCGCTCCGGTGTCAACCGGCATGCATACAACCTCAAACGCTCCAGCTGCTGCGCATATGCTCCAACAAAACTTCTCGTCCCTTTTGGCGTGACGTGCCGAATATCTTCCAAAAACAGCGTCTTTATCGACGGGCAGAGCTCTTCAATCGCCACCAACGACGCATCATTGATCGACGGATGCCTTACATACCGCAACGCAAAATGTGTCAAATTTTGTCCTGCACTCAGGCACACAGCCAGTAGCGCCTGGTGCGTCAACTGCGACACCCCGTGCAATGTCAACCGACTCAAACGACTTAACGACGGTGCCACGGTCATCAACAATGCATTCAAATCGTCACAATGCACAAACGCCAGATGCAACTCGCTCAAGGGCGGCGCAGCCTGCAATAAGGCCTGGATCGGATTCGCCGGAGCCGGACAATGCGCTAGGGCAATCGACTTCAACTTCAATGGCCCCGGATGGGCCGCAAGCTCCCTCAACAATACGTCCGCCCTCGGATGGCCGTGCACCTGCAACGCCCTCAATGCCGGCGCAAACGTCGACGCTAACACATGCGGATACACAGGCGTATGCCAATCAATCGCAAGACTGGGCACACACAATCGAAATAACATTCTCAACCGCGAACATGCTCCAGCCAAAGCAAACGCACTCGCAGACGATTCCAGCGCCCGGGCGGACAACGGCAAGGTAGGACAAGGCGTTGACAACAAATGACGAAATAACAGCAAGAGCAAATCATCGGGTAAAGAAAGCAACGTCAACGGCGCTTGGTGCCCCACACCCACCGCTCCCTCCCGACGCGGCCTGCTTTTCACGCCAACGCCAGCACCATCCCCAAACCATTGAAACGGCAATCTTGTCGGCATCTCTCGGCAGAACGCCTTTTGCTTCTTCTTCTTGCTGTACCCGTTCGTACCTTCCTCGCTCTCCGTCTACCCAACCAACTCACACTCTAACGAACCCCTCCACTCTCCCTGCCCCGCTGGCCCGTGGGCAAAAACAGGAGGCCCTGTGCTTTATTCTGTCAACTTTTGGCGAAAATGGAGAAAGAATGGGCCGGGGGGGTAAATTTAATCAAATTCGGCCAAAATTGACCAATGAAAACTAGTTTTCTTGAATAGTTACCCATCTGAAAACCCTGCTAGCTATCTCTGACGGCTCCCATGGTGTAGTGGTTATCACGCCAGACTTTGAATCTGGAGATCGCGGGTTCAAATCCCGCTGGGAGCACTCCAACCTGCCATCGAACACGGCGAATTCCACTTTTTGGCAAATCTGGTCACCAGGACTCCAATTTTTGTGCGCCGCGCCAGGCTGCGTGGCACGCATGGCCCAGGGGGTCCATGACATGCCTTTCTGATGAAACAGGGATCTCGGACGCCGCCGATCATGTCAGTCGGCGACAAGAAGACTACAGTAACACCCCTCGGAGAGCCAGCCTGATCCTGATCGCTTCTCCCAGGATCCCGATCAACAGTACAGTGCCTCCGCCAGATCCCGAACAGAGAAACTGTCTCTGCCTTTCGCTTCAGCTTTTTAGTATCACAACCTCCTCCAGCACCGAAGAGGAGAGAACACACAGACGAACGACTCACAGAATAAACTCAACCAACTTACGCGAGAAGACCCTCGCCCGGCAGGAGCCTGCCCTCAATTCCCCGGCGTCGTAACGCCCTCAAAACCGCCCGTACGCGCACTAACCCTTTGCAGAATCTGAACGATTCATTGTTACACACACTGAAGAGATCATTCTCTTCTCCCAATATTGATGCTACAACACTTTCACAGAGTGCCACTTCCACCAGCAACAATCTCTCTGCCCGGGACCGTATCGCTGTCACCGCACAGGAGGCTCCGGTAGGCAGCAAGGGTGCATCGCGATGTATGCATTCAGCGAACTGGCTCATTACCGAAGCTACAGAACTTTTCTTTTTTTTAACTTCGCACTTGCTTCCTGCCTGCGTAAGATGCCGCGCGATGCGGCCCAAGACTAGGAGTGATGTGAATAATGAGGGAAAAATGGGTAAGGTTATCCCTGGCCAATAATAAGAAACAACACAGGCGTGGCCAACTTTTAGAGCACACACGTTGGAAGACATATCTGCACCGGTGGGCCTGGCCTGCCTTCTCGAGAGTAGGTGGATACAGGGTGAAATTGCTTGTATCTCTATGTCTCTTCGAAATAAAATGAGGACTGCATGTACCCTAAATTACTGCCGAACTTTCTATTATTTACACATTGCTGTGAGTCTCAAGTGGCGCGCATCTCAGAGCTAGAGCCCCCCCGGCCACCATATATACCGTTGAAAACAAGAGTTGCTACAGTGTGCCCCAAGTTAGAGTTACAAATTTCTTTACTGGGGTAGAGTTGGTTTTGCTGGCTAATTTTCAGAGAAGTTAATTTTCACTCAGCGCTTGTACTGTATGTGCAGTAAAAATAAAGAAATGCTACAAGTGCTCTGTCAGTTATGCTCGAAGGATGTGACTGCGTCAAGTCAGCAAGTGTCCATCGCGACTTGACATGCTACAGTTGTGGTGATTTATATCAGTGAGAAACCACAAAGGAGGCCGATTCAGAAAAAAAAAACGTATATTTGACAGGTGTGACTCGCCCAATTGAACCCACGAAAACGGGTGAGATGGACAAATTTTGCAAAAAAAATCTTGACCAATGTAAATCAGATCCCACGCGTAAGCCTTGCCATGTTCCATGAGGGCCTCCTTTAAGACAGCATGGACAGCCATGTTTGGATGTATATGTTTGCGATTTTCAAAATATTACATGTCCAATAATTTAATGTATTGTGTCAGCGCGCCGTGATCCGTAAATTGGCTCAAGGGGTGCATCATACCGGGCTATCGATAGGGAAGCGAACGGTCTTTCTGAGCAGTGATGCAAGGAAGTGGCTGCAAAAAAGCCGCAAATCTCATTATCTTATAGTGCCTGGTTCGATATAGTGCCGTTTTCGGCCCACTGACAGAGGGAGACACTATATCGCGATCCCCGTGTACTGGCATTCAGGGACGTCAATAAAATGATTAAATTGAATTTTAATGTATGCTAAATTGGATCAAGATTGAATTTAATCGCACTTATGCGGCAGGCGACAGCCAATGGTGTGCTCTCGTATGGCACGTTGGTAGCGACAGATTCCATTATATTAACTTTGTGTGCGCCATCATACTGTTAAGAAAAGTATTAAATGGACCAATCAGGTGCACGCTGACGTCCATACATGTCCAAACATGCCCGTCCATGCTGTCTTAAAGGAGGCCCTGATGAGAAAGAGTAGCTGTCGGGCCTTGTTGACGTGACTGGGCCTTGTTGACGTGACTGAGACATACTGATACTGGACCTATTGCGAGCACTGCAGGAGGACCCACATCTTGCAATTTCGCAGTCCTCCTCGCCATTGGCTGCGACAGCAAATCACACAGACTGTATCAAATCGGTTCTTTGTGGGGCCCTGCTGTTCCTTGTTTGTCCTTCCACAACAATTCCGACGTTCGCGATATTGAAAAAGCGCCTCATATATGGTATATCCAGGGCATGTTGAACATCCCCCCTCTCCCGATATCGTTTGCCTCATCGCCCCACGCCCCCTGAACTATGGCTTTCCTTCCTCAACCACCACTGTGGCTGTCTCCCCGTCCTCGCGAAGGTATAGTATTTGGACGCCGCCATCATATGTCGTCTTCTCCTCCGCCTTCGGACGAAACATCCGAGGGGTCCCAACCACCACCGCCCTCCCCACCAACACGCCGTCATCGCGCTCGCATAGAAACCTCGAAAAAGGGCAGGGAAATGGCCTGGCGCTTCGACGGTGACGCCAGTAGACAACCGGAGATATGCCCCACTTGCCGGGGCAAACGTGCTGTGGAATGCCCGTGGTGCCACGCCACCGGTGTTCTCATGCTTGGGGACAGACTTCTCTGCTCTATTGAGGGACAGTCGCACTGCCTCGTCTGTCAAAACGGAGAAATTGAGTGCAAGGCTTGCAAGGGCACTGGTAGGCTCGCCTCATGGATTATTGTCGATTCGTAGAGTAGGGGGTTTCCGATTTTTTTATTTACTTTGTACATACCATGTGAAAAGGAACGGGACAAAAAAAAGGACCGGTCTAATGACTTCAACGTCATCCTTTCTACTTCAGCAGCGCTTTGACGAGGGACCGCGTGTTGATTTTGCGCAAGTCCATGTAGGTCTGTCCGACTCCCACAAACACAATTGGCTGTCCTGTCGCGTACACCATGGAAACGGCTGCCCCGACCTTGTCATCGATCGTGTCAAACTTTGTGAGCACGATTCCGTCAATCAACCGTGGCGCTGCTGCGTTTTGGTGGTCTGCTAGTGCCTGATTAAACTTGCTCAGTTGGTCTACTGCGTCGTTGCCCACTAGTGCTTCCCCCACAAACAGCACCCGGTCTGGTCTGTTCACCTCCACAAGTTTTGCCAGTGCACGCATAAGCGGTTCATTGTCTTGCATCCGCCCTGCCGTATCCACAAGCACCACGTCATATCCGAGCTCCTTCGCCTTCCGAATCGCATCGTTCGCAACGGCAGCAGCATCCTTTCCGTAACCCCTATCGAACAACTCTACTCCTTCCCCGAGGCACCGGACGTGAGTACGAAGTTGCTCAACCGCACCCGCTCGAAATGTATCGCAAGCCGCAATCATTACCTTGTAACCATGGTTGAGCAGGTAGTAGCATGTCTTTGCCAACGAAGTGCTCTTACCGACGCCGTTAACGCCACAATATGTAATAACATATGGACGACCCGTACCTTGTTTGGCAGCGATCTCTGCGACGATGTCTGTACTTTGTCTTGATGTTAAAATTCTTGTTAGTGCCTCGTCCAGTGCGCTTCGCACTGTTGTAGTGACTGAGGTCATGGATTCCATCTTTTTCCCCTCCAAACTGTTGAGTACTGATTCAATCAACTTTTCTGCAATGTTCTGCGCTACGTTCTTAGCAATAAGTACGTCCTTGAAGTTTTCCATAACCGGTTGCAAGTCTGCTTTCGTTAGGTTTCGCATCCCCGCGAGCCCCTTGAAATAGTTCAGCACACCACCAAGAGGAGCACTGCTCTCGTTCACCCCATCACCATCCTCCTCATCGAACTCATCGTCGTCTGAATCCTCGATGATGTCATATGCAGAATTAGGCGCCGCGTTCATGAATTGATCTCTAAACCGTGCGACTTCATCGTCTGCAATTGCGCCATCCTCTTGCGGTTTTCCTGTGCTGTAATCAAGCGTAGGCCCAGCATCCTGTGTTGCCTTGTTGCTCGGCCGCATAACTTTTCCCCCGACGCTGCGAGTTGGGGTTGTCGCAGAATCGATCGCAGAGGGTTTCGGCTTCATCTTCATTGCGCCCATGGCAGCCTTCGACTTTCTTGAGACGTGCTTTCGTATGAAAGCCTCTCTGTTCTTCTTCACAACATCCTCTGCTGACAGGGTGGACAAGCCTGTATCCAATGTTTCGGGGTCTTGCTCTGCTTCACGATTAGGATCAGGGGATGTAATGTCAGGTGCTGGTGGCTTGACAGGCTTTCTCTTCTTTCCTTCTGCATTCCTGGAGGTGGCGCCTGCGGTCATGCTCTTCTTCTCCGCAGAGGCAAGAATGCGCTCGAAATGGGGCGCAAACTGGTCGAAATCGGGGTCGCAGTCGACCACGAAAGGGGTGTTACCCTTGGCGGAGGGGTTGTCTGCGGGACGGATGTATCGCTTTGTGAACTCCTTGCGGACCATATGTAGGAGATCATCGGCGTAAGCGGGAGGAAGAAGGCGTTGGAAGATGACGACGAAGAAGAGACCCCTTTCATTGTCCAGGACCCAGCGAAGTGTGTAGCAGTCAAATGAGAGCTCTGGCAGTGAGAGACGATCTTCGAGAAGAACGGAGCGGACAAGAATAGCGAGGGGATCCCCCTTGAGGGCGACAAAGCTGCGTCGCCACAGAACTGTGCCGCCGCTCTCGAAGATGCAAAACTCGTCGATCATTGCGGAAGCTGGTGGGAACGAAGGGTATTGTCGAGCTGCAGCGGCGACGGGCAGTGTGAGATACCGCGGCAGCTTCGGTTGCGGACTCGCCAGGTTTTACTGTGGTGATGCTCCTCAACATCAAGGGTAGTTGTTGACAACGCAACCAAATGTATGGCTAAAATGAGCTTACAGTACTCAATATTAAGGCACAGGGCGTCGAAGTTGTGTGACTGTAATGCTCGCAGTTCCAGAGTTGATTGTCGTGATGTGCCGTGATGCGGTGCATCTGCATCACTGGTTCACATGTCTTCACGCTAGTGACATCACTCCATGCAGTTGCTTGCCTCAAACCGCTGACATAAGCCAGAAACAAGAATGTAGAGAGGTCCTTGCTGGATCACCCTGCTGCACCTTGTTGGGGCTTCCAGTCTGTCCCCCCGCAACACAAAAGTAATCCTCAATAATTAAGACTTGAGGGTTTACGCAACCAGCTTTTCAGAAAAGGAATTTACGATTTTTTAGATTTCCAATTCCAGAAAAGTGCTTTCCTGAAAAGCAAATTTTCGTTTAGGATAATATCCCATACGGTTGCCATTCTACGTGCCTAATCCCAACGAGATGTCAGAGAAAATTTGCCCTTTGTCTAAGATGTGCATTATGCAAAACGACTATCCGGCACAGTTGTGAGCATTAACATAAAAGGCTGGAAAGTCGTACAGGGGACCCTACCCATTAGTGCCGCCCCGTGCGAGACCCCAAAATCAAGCACTATCGGGAGATGGCATTAGTAGGTGACGTCGTCACATCTATTTTCATGCACCCGGTAATTAACGTCTGCCTGCTCCGCGTTGGTTCTCTGTCGTGTGTTGCCATGAGAAACGCGCGCTTTGCCGACCTCAGATACGATAGAGCGTCTGAAACTTGGCATTCAGTCGCCAAAACTTCCAGCTCTCCAAACAATTCCGCGATCCCAACGACAGAGAGTACAGTCCTTCTCTCCCTGGCGTCCTCTGCGCTCTCATCTTCATCACTTGATTGCGTTGTAGTTTTGTTCGTCACACCCTGAACCGTCTCAAAAACAGCATAACAGCAAAAGCAGCATAACACCCGGACCCGTATGACACGTGGCATTTTTTCGTGTTCGTGCGTCAGACCGGCATTACAGTAGTGGGAGAGGAGGGTGGCATAAGTAATAGCGGCACTAAGAGCATCTCCACCAGGCGCTCCCAATTCCATTATCCAAGCCCACGTGGCAGATTTTCATTGCGCTACTTGTCAATTTGCTGTAAGCTACCTGCATTGAGATTTGATGATGGGAATTGGATTGGAATGAAAAGTGAATTCTCCACCCGTAGAAGCGTCGGCGTCTGACGCCAAAACTCATTCCACCTCATCAACTTGCAAGCTGGTCGTGCGACAGCTCCCTGGCATGGACTTCCACTTTGCAACCAACGCGGAGAGCTCATCAGGCTCGCCCGACCTATCATCAGCGGACGAGGAGGAGGCGCAACAAGGAGTTGTCGCACAGCTCAACGACGGAGAAGACCCTGAGCACTACTCGGTCACGTTTTGGTGGGAAATGCGAGCTGTCTCCGAGTTGGTAGAGACCGTAAAGCAAGGATGCTCAGTCCCAGGCAAGAGCGGCAACGTTGAGAGAAACTTTGCGGATGCACATCGCAGATACATGCTCCAGTATTTCTGGCCAGCTGACGAGCCTAGGCCTGGCTCCAACCAGCAAGTATCAACGCAATCAGAAGGGATCTTTGATAAACGGTTCCGCATGCCTCCAAGTGTATTCTTGCGCCTGCTGGAGAGTGTCACGCAGCACGAACCGTATTTTCGGCAAGGTTTGAAGCCCAATGCTGTCGGGAAGCTCGGTATTGCGCCATTGATCAAGGTCGTCACTGCTCTTCTCCAGCTGTCGTATAGTATTCCAGCAGACCTGTGCGACGATTTGTTTGACGTCTCTGAAACTACTGCATTGAATTTTTGAAGATGTTCTTTGCTACTGTTGTGGATATCTTTTCAAGAGAATATATGCACCAGCCGACATCTGATTACATAGTCTGCATCGAAAAGACGTTTCAAGCTGTTGGGTTTCCCTGTTGCATATGAGCTGTAGATTGCGCTGGGAGGCGGTGGAAAACGCCCCCAAGGCCATGCAAGGGAGTCTTATTGGAAAGGACGGGTTTCCAGTGCTCCGTGCGGAAGCTATATGTGACCTAGACTTGTGGATCTGGCATTTTCAGTTTGTATTTCCCGGAGTGCTCAACGATCTCAACATTTTAGACCTGAGCGAGCATTTCGGAAATGTTCTGAATGGAGCATTTCCAACTGCTGCACCTTCCGACGAAATTGAAGACGAGGAGTTCAAGTGGTGTTATTATCTCGCTGATGGTATATATCCCAATTGGAAGATCATTTGCAAGACAATGAACGAAGCTGTCCTCGAGAAGGAAATGCTTTTCTGCAAGGCGCAAGAGGGTGTGAGAAAGCGTGTCGAGTGCGTGTTCGGCATCCTTTTCCGGTAGTTTAGAATTACTGCCATGCCTTCGGAACTATGGTCGTCTGGAGACATGTAGAACATAGTCCTGACGCCTGTGATTCTACATAGTATGATTGTGAAAACTCGTTGGTACGACTACACAAACGACGGCGGAAGAGGATTGAGCCGACACTACAATGAAGCAAACGATCTTACAAATCTGCAATTAACTCCCGTTCAGACTGAAAACGTGCAGCTTCGGCTGCACCAAATGGCGGCCACAAGCGGAAACCTGTAGTGCGCAAACGAGCATGCGCGTTTTTGCAGCGCTCTAATCGGTTAAATTTGGAATCGAAAGGGCAACAATGAGACGTATGCAATGGAGCATTAAACTTGGGAGAGTCTTCAATTTCAATGAAACGTTAAAATAGTATCTTCGTATCAAGCAGGCTGATCTCGTACTATAACTCCATTTACCGTAATGATTTCGCTCGAATGCCGACGTTCGATACTCACGCAAACTACTAGCATGATGAAAAACATTGAAAAGCTATCGTATTGTGCTATGATCAGGGGCAACTCAGGTACAGATTGTTGTGCTCAAGGATTCCGTTGTGAGCATTGATTTGGTATGCCGCACTTACGGTTAATGTGCTACTGGCACTCAATACTTCGGGTACTGCCCACTTGGTGGTCATTCCATCGCGTGCACCAGTAGTGTTCAGCATACCCAGGAAGCTACTCAAGGCTGCTCGACTCCACCATGGAGCCGGACACGGAACTACGCGCGGGGAGGATCCGTCACCACTGGAGAGCGGCTCTTCCAAAGCACGAGGTTCGTTCGAGTACTGCGGGTTGTTCACTTCAGCGGTATTCATAGGCGATAAAACCTGCCTGCGCATTGCACGCAGATATGTTTGCATGTCGGGATCAGCATCGGCGAGTGATGCCGATAATAGCTTCATGTGAGCCTCTATCTTCAGCGCAGCCGCCTTCTCCTTGAGTACGTCTACTTTCTTATTCTCAGTCTTCCCCATCTCGCCGAGAAGCTTGAGCCTTTTGCGAGCTGCGTCCGCCATACTTTCAATGACTTTGGCGCCGCGTTCCAGCGACTTCTTCTGCTCTGTACTTGCAATCGCCCGTTTGTTCCCGGTAGGACGCTTTGCGTTAGCGTCCGTGTCTTGGCCATCGTCCAGTAGGCTTGAAGCCTGCGCAGCACTCGCGGCGTCGTCTTCCGCATCATTTCCAGCGTTCTCATATACTGGGTTTGCATTGGACGCCGCGGCCTGAGCAGTGGCACTAGTGAGAGCTGCGGGGCTTCGACAGCCGCCCTTCGAGCGAGATTCCATCGCCTTCCGCCACAGCTCCGTGGTTCTCAGATACAACAGCTCCTTGATGAATGGGAAGGCTTTCCCAGGCTCCCAGCGGCTCGTGTTGTCGCGGAGCAAGTAGTTATACATGTCCTTAGCCTCCGCGACCTTGTTTTAAACTGCCGTGGCAGCGTTGATGATGTCCTCCGCTGTGGGCTCTCCCGTGGGCTCGAACCTCTTGATGGCGTGTACGATACCATCAAACTTGAGACCCTCCTTTCGCACTTTCTTGAATCGTGCACTCACAGCAACAGCAGAGCGTAGGTTCTCCTCCTCAAGCCAATCGCTGTGAAATGCCTTTATCCTCTGCTCGTACTTATCATAGACAGCAGCGCTAAAAACCTCCCACTTCTGCCCGTTTCCCTTCACGGAGGCCTCCGACGTACGCACGTACGCTTTGCATGCGATCAAGCTCTCCTCTGCACTCTAACCGTTGCCGGTCCCCATTGTGCGCTTTAGCAGGCTGTCCGTTCTTGCTGTCTGGTTGTTGCCGCAATGCTTGATGTGCTGTGGAACGCGTTGAGTCGCTGGGGATACAGGCAGGTCTTTCATACACCGGGATCTGTGACATCACGAGCGCATTGGGCGCACTTCTACAACGTTCAACCACGTTTGCTCGCGCTTTTACGGCAGTTCGCGACAAGCAGAAAGCGCGCAAAAAGCTACAGTGCGGAAAACAGGCCGCAAAGGGACACAGAGCAAATGAGATATGGAAATGGAGCTCCTGCAGATTGCTCTAAATCGAAAGAATTTGGAGCGATTTTGAGGTGTTCCATTTCCCAATCGGGCATTGGATTGGAATGACACCTGCCGGCGGAGGAAATCTCTGCACCAATTTTCATATTTTGAAATGGAAAGCGATTTGGAGCGCCTGGTGGAGATGCTCTAATAGGCGTCCTCCCTGTACAGTACCCTTCTCACTGGCTAGAATTGGGACATGGCTCAAATTGGGACACAAAAATTACTGTCGCCGCGCCGAATTGTTTCTCGCATATGATTGTGCCAACTGCAATCAGCCCACCGACTTCATTCTAAGTAAGAACGCTTCTTTGCGCCCCTCAATCACCAGGGTCTTCTCCCGTCCGTTTCCAATGCCTCCGTCAATGCGTGCACAAACACAGGCGCACCGACGGCGACAAGAAGAGAGAATGGCGGAACGCACA